AAAACAAACCTAGACGATCTGATTTATTCTTCCCAACTCCACTATTCTTGTACTTGGATCGAAAAATCCAGTCACTATCCATAATCCAAGAATCTCCAATAGCTCTGAGATCTTCATAGAAGAAAATCAACATCTGTTTTTGAGGCATTTCTGGTACTCATCAATCAGATCAACAAGACTCATCAAGTAAACAATTGCGCGGTTTTTTCTTTCTTTCGCGGATTCAAGAATTGCTTTCATTTGTTTGTTGGAATGTTTATTATGTAACTCAAAAAAGTGTTTGAATCCTTTTATGTACCTTATCCATATCAGCTCCTTCCATGACAAAAGATTTATTAATGGTCACAATCTCAGGAGAAAGCTTTTGTAGATCCTTCATTGTATGTGTTATTATCTATAAAAATTCAGAAACATACATAAAAACACTTAAAGATGTTAGCATTTTTAAGAGGAAGATTTGTTTTTTTTTACGCAGACTGACCTCGGTTACGGATAGAGAACCATCAAGAGAAGGCAAATCAATCATTTCTCTGAATGCAAATATGTTTTTCCTCAATTCCACCATCAAAATGAAATTTGCTGTACATTTTGGCGAAGAACCTTCGGAATTGTTGTTTCTTGGTGTATTCACTTTCTTCTTTTCATTCTTTACCGATAAAGGAGTCGCTGCGCCCGAAGTAGAAACTTGTTTTGGAGAATTGAAGCTCTTTGGAGTAGCTTCTGCAACAGAAGATACATGTGAAGTCGTGCGTTTGATTTCTTTATTTTTCTTGTTTTCGACTTTTTTCTTTGATGTTGATGCGCGTCTAAACTCGTGTTTTCCCTTGATAAGCCTCTTTAGAGCAAGCGCTCTTGCGACCTAAAACAACATAATAAACATGTAAATGCGAAATAACACGAATGTAAAAGTCGAAAATAGGGTTTGTATTGTTACAAACGCCGATTTCTACGTTTGCATAATTTTCATGATAAAGATGTATTAAACATTTTCCGTTTCTTTATAAAATTTGTAAAATGCAAATGCAGACGCTAAACTTCAACAATAGGAGAAGAACCTCTTCTTTTTATTTGGCATTTGCGTAAACAATGTGAAATGTTATAAATTTGTTTGGAGAGAAAACATATCAAATGTAAATGCACACAAACAATTGATGCATAAAATGCAAAACACAAAAAAAAAAAACCTGCAATCTTGAGAGCTTGCGACAAAAAGTTATTGGCGTGAAGCCGCAAAGCCTCCCGCTTGACATCACGAGTTTTGAAGTCGAAAAATCGATTTCTCAACCTAAAAGGATTTAATCAGGAGAATCCATAAGAAAGAGATTCCGATCTCTTTCTTAGTGAATAGTTTTTCAGGTAATTGCGCTAAGCAAATAACGAGCCAAGAATTGAAAGAAATGTGTTTTTTCTTCAACCCTTTTGAGCAGAGAAGGAGACAAAAAAACCGGAAACAAAATCAGTCCACAAATCCTAGAAAGATTGAAATCA